TCATAAAAAATCAAGATATCTTCACATCTTTAATTTTTTTTTTTCTTCTTAGTCCCAGTACTATGCTCGTGTAACTCTGACAATAAAAAAGTCTTCAAAGCAATCACATTCAACACTGAGGCCAAATTTATTTTGATAAAGCAGCCATTCTCTTTACTGGCTTGGAAGATACATTTGACCTCATTCTTCTACAAGATAATTTGTATCACTAAGCTCTACAGTGTCAGAACTAAATTCATTTGCTATCCTAGCAATAGAAATAAAATTTAAAGTCAAAAGAGACAAATGTTCAGAAGCAACATGCATTGCTTTTGATTAAAGAACTTGTCAGAATTATTTGCTCTCTGCATTTTTTTTTCTCAAAGGCTAATATGCATATAGTGAATATGAAATCATAGGTTGTACAAAGCAGCAGAAACACATTCACAAATACCATGTTTGTCCTTCAAAATGAGATTATCTAGAAAAGCATTACTAAAGCCAACTAAGAATAAAAGCAGCATTTAATATAAAACTACCAAATTGTGAACAATCTGCATGAAATCCTCTTGGATGTCTCCTTCACATATTTTTTTCCAGTCTAACGGTCAGTAATGCTTTTTTCAGCATCTATTCCACCTTCCCAGGATTTTTTTTATTATTTAAATTGCTTATAAAATGTTTGCTGCAATCCCATAAGCAAAAATTTCTTTGCTTGGCTTCATTGGCACTAATACCCACAACATGAGCAGGGAAAGCTTCTTATTGAAGAAATGGACTATCTTATTTCATTATATAGATGTGTTAGTTCCTCTAATTGTAAGTTATCTTCCCAAAATTTACAATCAACCAGTTTTGTCCTGCACCTCATATTTCTCAGCAAGGAAGTTGTGAACTGAAAATAAAAGAAAGTGTACTAAAATAGAATGGTTGACAAATGAATGAAATCTCTAGCTAGTGCTGTGAAGTACACAGAAATGTCTATTTAATTGCACTATCTTTTTTCTTTAATATTTCAATATTTCACAGGCTTGGGAAATTGTATTGTTAAAAATAATTCACCATGAACATCGCAAAAAGTGCTTCTTTCATACATCTTCAAGTTCAGATCAGTTCACAGGAGCCCATTCTCCGTTGGCTGTCAGGGACACAAAAGGGATGTCAGGAATGCTGCAGCAGCTCTAATGCCATTGCAGACTGAGAACGCTCAAGAAATCAGTGTTGAAGGGGGTTGCAACCAGTCATAGTACATGAACTGACACCAATAGAAATTCTTTAAAAGAATTACGAGAGTAAAGCATAGAAGGTGAGCAGTGACTTTTCAGCAGGTGACTCAGGAGCACTTGGGAAAAGAAACAATGGAAAGATGTCATGTCACCTTAGAGTCCGGGGCATGGGAGACAAGTTCTGAAAGAGATCTCGGGCTTTGTGTTTCTCAGGATAGGTGAGCACACAGTAAGAAAGGCAGCCTGCCTCCAATGAAAACATAGCTTATTTTGACAAATGCATTTAGAAGTACAAGGAGACCATGAATATTTAGAGCATCAAAAGAGACTGACAATTATTTGTGTTTGAATTTGAAATATTTTGATGGTAGAATTGCAGATAATTAAGAGCAGAGGGAAGTACATGCTAACATACAGTGTATCATTAATGCAGGAAAATAATGCAACATAGGGTAAAGAACCTCAGCTGGACCCTAACTACATCCACATACATGCTCTAACAAAAAGATTTCAGTCACATCACAGACCATCTTCACAGCAGCACAGACAGGGAGCAAAGATCTACTTTGCTACTAGCGCTCTTGGCTCACCCAAATCTGCAGAAGTGATCTGAGACAAATTCTCTTTAGTATATGCTCCTGGATTTTGAACACAGCTTTTCTATAACAGTGAAGATGCAAGTTCCTATGTCAGGTGCATATACACAAGAGAGGTGTGTAAGTGTTCATGCATCTGTTTCCAGTGTGCAAGGCAGTATTATCTTCTATCCTGATCTGATTCCCTCAGAAAATCCAAAGGCTGCAGAAGCCAAAAGGGATGTTCTTTGGCATGTCATACTCAGTCTTGGACCTTTTATAGAATTTGAGTGTCAAAGTCTGAATCTCAGAGCAAATTTCAGCATCATGGTTTACTCCTGGTTAAGGCGGGAAGTATATCATAGAATCACAGAATCACAGAATACCAAAATGGAAGGGACTTTAAACTGACCCAGTTCCAACCCCCTGCCATGGACAGGGCTGCCACACATTAGATCAGGCTGCCCAGGGTCCCACCCAACCTGGCCTTGAGCACTTCCAGGGATGGGGCATCCACAGCAATCTGGGCAGCCCAGGCCAGCGCCTCACAGCCCTCTTAGTAAAAAATTTCCTCCTGATACCTATACAATCTACACGTATCAATTTGGCTGCCTCATTTACATCGTCATGCATTTCTTTAGGTCCCCAGTTCATCACTTGTTACGACATTCAAAGGAATACCATGAAGATCTTCCCCTTCCAAATTCAAACACCATATTTGTTCTGGTAATTGAGGGAATCTGTTTTATCCGCCTCATTGGATACAGTCATTATAACAGTTCCCACCCAGTATGCCACAGCCATTCCACATGCAGTTGAAATCGATAGCATTTTTCTGTGCATCAGGGATTTCCCATCAATATTTACATGTAATGATTAAAAGAGCAAGGGCTCCAGTAATCACGCAGGCTTCACCACTGTTGATACCTCTGGGAATATCAAACATTGTGACACTGTGATCTGTTTCAGTTTTTGAAGGTTTCCATCCTCCTCTTTAAAGCAGCCTTCCTTTCCCGTAAGCTGTGAGGCAGTGGCATTTTTTGCTTTCAAGCATATGAAAACATGTGCTTCTGCTTCCCTCTCTAACTCTGGAATGAAACACTCTGTTCCAACAACATCTCCATCCAAGCAGGCAGTTATGGCATCATTCTGGCTTTACAAAGACAGAAGAAAACTGCAAAACATTACTTTCTGCTCAGGTGATTCACATGCTTGTCTCATCCAAGGGAATCCAAAATGTCATACTATTTATCTTTACTGTACCGTGCAGTGTAGAGAATGCAGTATTTGTAGGTTTTAGATTAATGGATTCAAAACATCCCTTGATTAATCCCTATGCCAGTAGTGCACAATATCTGGGTTCACTTCAGTTCAGCAGCTGATTTAGGAATGTTAACATTATTTTGGCTGGAGCAGCTGATGGAGAAGCCTGATTAGATTGTTCTGAACAAAAATCCTACAGGTACTGAAGATATATAATGCCTAAATTCAATTCCTTTATTATTTACATTCAATAACTAATGATTACTTAGTTATTAACCAAGCCCAAAGGGTTAGTCATGATAATTAGACTATGAATTATTAACACACAAAAAAAATCTTCAATATTTCTTTGGAGGTTTTTTTTTCTTTTCTTGTTCTTTTTTTTTTTCTTTTTTTTTTTTTTTTTTTTTTTTTTAATTGCTTTCTCTACTTATAATTTTCTTAGCTAGAGTAGGCATGGAGATGGATTATGAATCTCTTTCATCCCATTTGGAGCAGTAACAGCATTTCAGACTCTGGCCTGGCCTGCTGCCAGATACAGGCAATACATTTCCTCCAGTTGCAAGCAATAAAATTATTCTGTCTTTGTTATTCTGCGTTTCCCTGGATCCTTTTGAAGGACAGGAATGAATCTCTGCCAGCGTTGCTGTGATGAATTATATGCTTTAGCTGTTTAGCACAAGGGTGAGCTATACAAAGCCACGGGAGGCTGAATTTAAAAAATGATCCACAGTAGTTTTTATTGTTTTTCAAATTCACTTCATAATAGCTGTGCAAATATAGCAAAAATAGTAAGTGCAATTAGGAAGATAATCAAAATTAGGAAATTAAGACCGTTTGTTGCTTTCTGGCTTGCCCGCTATCTGCAATTCTGGTGTCAAAACCAAAAGCTCTACTGAGCTTGGGAGACTCTGTGCCAGGTCTGCACCTCCCGAGTGCTTTGGTGCTTTTGCAAACATGTCTCCATCTCTTTTACTGGACTTTCTCCCAATATGTTACCAGCTGCATCCCAGCCCGTTCATTAAGCTGCATTTTCAAGAAATGCAGTAGTGCATATTAAGAGTTCTTGTGTACAATCAACATGAGTAAGTCAGTTTTGAGAATCTTTTCCATTCACCCACAATCTTTTTTTTTTTCCTACAACTTTCATACAAAATGTTCTATTTTATTCTATCTGGATTTCTACGCCATTTTCATCGCTGGGTTACCGTAACAGATACCATCATTAAGTTAAATGAGGTAAGATCTGCTATTTGTTTCTCTTTCCCCAGTAAGGAGACTGATTGCGTACATTCACTGTTAAAGGTCATCTCAAAGCAGCTCAGAATGACACCAGCAAGCCGCAGGCAGACAGCCACGAGACCCGGCAAGGCGCCCCTTCCCTCAGGAGCGGCCAGCACCACCTCCTGACCCGCACTCCACGCCTCCCTCCATAACAGGACCTCCCCCCACCAAACAAGATGGCGGCGCAGGGGCAGGGTCTCGGGCCCGACGCGGGGCTCCCGCCGCCTTCAGGCGCCGCTATGGCACCGCAGGACGGAATCGACGCATACGGCGCTACCCGCGACGCCCAGCCCTCGTCCCGCCCCCCCTTGCAGTGGCTAAGCCACTCAAGCAGCCGAAATTTAGCTTCAATCCAATAGGAGCAGCAGTCGCTTTCCACTAACACCAACCAGGGGCCAGAGCCGTTAAACTGACAGCGCGGACAGCCAATAGCTGACAAGGAGAGGCCACCTCCCTTCGCGCCCCGTTGCTGGGGCAGCCGCTGTCAATAGCCCCCAAGAGCCGCCGCGGCTCCTTTAAGCGTAGCGTGGCAACGGCGCCGCGTCCGCCGCACAGGCCGGGCCCTGCGGGGGAGCGGGGCCCAGGGCGGCGGGCCCGGCCTGCAGGTGAGGGAGAGCAGGGCCGGGTTGAGAGAAGGGCCGCCCTTTGAGGCCGCAGGCCCGAGCTGGATAAGCGGGGGCGGCCGAGCAGTAGCAGCAGCCGAGGAGGGCGGGAGATGGCAGCGCTCCCCCGCGGCGTGAGGGGCTGCCACTGGAAAGCGTTGGCCTGAGGTAACGCTCGGTGCGTTCCGTTGGGGGAGAAGCAGGGAGGCCGCCTTGTTTGGCGGCGATTCGCTCGGATGTTCGGCATTCCGGTCACTCAGGTGGGCGTTTCTGTGCGGACGCTGCTTTCTTGCTTTCTTCCGTGCCGCCACGGGTCAACGCCTGTGCCGTGTGCCGTCAGGACGGCGCTGAGGCTGAGGGCCGTTGCGCTGCGGAGCCGGGCCCCGTGTGTGCGATAAAGGCAGGAAGAACTTCCGAGTCGTTCGAGCGATGGCAGGCAGCCCCGTGCCATCCCTGGAGTTGTGCTGTGCCCTGTGCAGTGCTTCCCTGTCCATTGCTCCGCAGTGACCCGCAGCCCGACTGCGTGCCGAGGCGTTTGGGTTGGGCTCTCTCTTTTTCTTTCCACTATGTGTTTCAAGGCAAAATATGTAATCAGTAGCAACAGATCGTTGCTGAAACAAACAAGCGTGAAATTCTGGGAACAGAGCTTTCTGAAGTTGCACAAGTCCTAGACTTCCCTCATGGGTTCTATGTTGGTCTGATCCCGATGTGTACAGCTTCTAAAAGTGTGTGTGGGGTTTCTGCTCTCTTTGACAGGGTGTTCTGCTTTGATTTGTTGCTGTGTTCCTTTTATTGTTTAAGGCTTTTTTTTTCCCCAGTAACTCACAACATTTCACTCCTTGCATCATTACATGTACTGGGACAAAACCAATGTCTTCATGAATTTAACTCAAGCAAGTTTTGGTTATTTTTATAATAACTCAACCTGGCTGGTAACAGTTGAAAAGTCAATGAACCAAATAATTTCTTAATTAAGTAATCCTTAAACCAACTAAATTAAAATCCAAATGCCTATTCTAGTGATTCATTTGCTCTGAAGATAAAATCTGCGTTTTTTTTTTTTTAATGTTAATCAAATTGCATTGTAAATTTGGTGGCAAATGGCATCTGGCAAAGCTGGACAGATTGAGGTTTCCTGTTTTATATGGAAAATGTGATGATATTATCAATTTATAAAACTGAAAATGAATTGAAGCTTTGGAAGTATTTTTGGGGATTCCTCAAGGGAGTTTCCATTGGTTACACTGTTCCAACTTATTTTCAGTCTGATGATTATTTTTTTTCCCCATTTTCCAGAGAAAATCCAGAGAGCATCAGAAATTAGTGTTCTTCACTATATATCAAAGTAATGCCTGACACAGGTTTCTAGGAGAGGTGGATGCCCCATCCTTGAAGACACTCAGGGACAGGCTTGATGAGGCTCTGAGCAACCTGATGTAGCTGTAGGTGTCTGTTCATTGCAGGGCAGTTGGACCGTATAGTCTTTAAGGGTCCCTTCCAACTAAAACAATTCTATGATTTTCTATTCTGTGAAAATATTCTTCAGAGGGAGCATCCAGTACAGAAGCGGATAAATTTTTACACGTTACTTCACAATACTATTTTTCTGTTTTAAATACTGTTGTGAAAGGCATTCTTCCAAAAGGTTATTGCCTACTCAGTGAGTACTTGTGGGGCTATAAAATTACTGACTGATCATCTTCAAGTTAGTAAGTGAAAGTGAATGTTCTTGTTTTATATATATAATTAGACATCTAGATAATTGAATCGCAGACACTTACATTTTTCCCAAAATGCAGTACCACTTGTTTTGGTTTATATATGCTTTCTTCTCAAGAAAAAAATAATCATGCACAGAGATTCCTTTCTATCCTCCAGTGTCCTAATGGCAGACAAAAGTAAGGTGTACCTTGGCTAGGCACACACCATTGTAGATAGATGCCCAACAGAGAAGTTACTACTGCTACAGAGGTTAGGTGTGCTGATGTTAACAGCTGTAGATGTGGTGCCTTTGGCACCAGGGTGCCCAGCTCAGCACTGCAGGGCAAACCGTGCTGCTTGACTTCCCACCGGATTGCTTCGTTCAGCCTATTGCTGTGAGCAAAAAAGGGAACACATGTTAGACATAGAGCTGAGTACTGGTTGTTAATCTAATTAAAATCTTAATGGCCTAATCGAAGGCTTAGTACTAGTCCAGATATTAACACAGTTCAGGTTGTGCACAGTTACAGTGATAGAGGTACAACCTCTGACACCAGACTTTCTTCACCGACTGACTCTTCCTCTGGGACCTGAAGAGCTTTGTCTGGGCTGGGGGGAGGGGAGGGGAGGGGAGGTCAGCATCCCACATCCTCTCTTGGAAGGAGGGAGAGTGTGCTGATGGTTTTTCTTCCTTGTCATGTGTCCACCTGGGATTGCTTTTATGCTTGTTAACACACTGCACACCTTATTCCTTCCCCAGCACTTCATGGCTCTGTCATCACTGAATTTATACATACGGTGCATTTTACACATGTTGAGAACTTGTCCTTTGTTCTATGTGTCATTACTTATAGAACTAATTTTACCCATCTCCCGTGGCTGTATCACCTGGTGAGCAATTATTAATTGACCACTAGTTAGCTATTGCAGGGCCCCCCTGTTGCCCTGTGTACTTTAAGGCCCCTACGGTCATCCCATGCCTGTGACCCTCCATGCTCTATTTTTCCAAGGCTCACAGACAGTTTGCTCTGCACACAATAACTACTGCTTATTGCTATCTGTGGGTTATAAATCAAATTGTAGGTGTTAGAGTACACAGCTGTACAAAGCTAAGCAATAACTAGTTAGATAAGTTGCGTGGTGGTTAGCTAATTTTCTTGCAGCTAAATAAATGAAGCTTCAGGCATCCAAGATGAGTCCAGACATTGTCTGACAAGTCCTGTGGCCCCATTCTGATAGCTGAAAATAAAGCCTGTGGCTTCTTGCAAGCAGTGACAACACCGCGTTTGCTATAGGCTGCGTACACAATTACAGTTTTTATGTTGTTACAGTCAGGATGATTGAAGTAGTTTGATGCCTGTTACAGCCCTGTAGAGCATTATCTTTAGATTTTATGTTATTTTACTATTCTAACATTGGCATATATCTTATTTTCTATCTTCTTTATTACCCGAGATTCTATCTTGTGGAGGCAGGCATAAAGCAGTCTTACCTGTGTATCCTATAAAGAACAGGATGTTGCCAAAACTGTGTCTGTGTTTCAGTTTGGAATCAAGGAGTGAGGTAACAAATTCTGTGAGACCAGGATTGAGGAGCAGAGCTGCTTGGGAGTGTGGTTGTGTTCTCATAAGTTCAAACGTCTTACGTGATCTTAGTCTTACACTCATTAATGCTTGTGAAATCTTTGTTACCTTCACAGACAAAGAAGGAAATACAATTATGGTTAGGTGTACACTTCTGAAATATCTTTGATAGCTTCACAAATTCAAAGCAAAAGAAAATAGTCATTGCTGATTTACATGTTCACTACAGCTGACTCCTTCCAGCACACGTTAAGGAATCTCTAGGGCAAGTGATCTCAAGCATTGCTCATCTTCTTTCTGTTTTCATCAGAATACTGTCTGACATAAGTTTTAGGCATCTGATTTATTTCGACCTCTTTGAAAATACTTAGGTCTTCAAAGAGCATTATATTAGGAAGTTACTCCCCAAGTAAAGAAAAACAGTCTCTTCCGAATAATTCAGTAATAATTCAGTAATAATTTCCCAGCAGCTTCTCAGTTTAGAAATCTGTTGGATTATTTATTTCTCTAATTCCTGCCGTATAGATTATGAGGGCAAATCCATCTCTGTCACTGGAGGCAGAGTTGTGTGTGCTAACAATGTAGTGGGCTGGAAAGCTTGAATTTGTGATGAAAACTGTCTTGGCAGCTGATGTTTCTGTTCTGCTTGGCTATGCAGTTCTTCACATATAGATGGGGAACAGAAGGCCAGAAAAGCATGCTAAGTTTATTTTATTGGGATAGTAAAGTGACATAATATGGTGAAAATTTTGCAGCTCATTTACAGGTATGTCATATGCCCTGCAGTGTAGAAGAGATCTGATTGAAAGCAGCTCAATTTTGTTGTGTGTAGTTTATTTGAGCTCCTATCTTGTTTCTAAATGGTTATGTCATTCTACAGGCAGGAGTGCTGGGCTCTGGTGTGAGTACTGTTTATTCGCCCGTTAGAGGCTTGATCTTGAGTTTGGAAAGATGGGAAATAGGTGGAGAAATAAACTTGAGAACTGTGGGAAGAGAGATGGAAGGTACAGGAGGCTCAGTTTAGTCAGTCCAATACGGCATGCACAGATGAGAAGATTCAGTTTTGAGTGAGAAAGGCAAGGAAAGCTTTCAATGTATTTGCTTCAATGTTCTCAGTGTCTGAAAAATGTGAAAGGTGATTTTTACATAGAGATTAGACTTTTCAGTTTACATCAAAAGACAGTCTGCAGAAGCAGTCATTCCCTTTTTACACCTGGTAATGTTTACCATATGCTAGGTGTAAAACAAGTAATGCTTATCGTATACCAGCAGGGTGGTCTCTCTATCAGTTACTTTAAAAATAAACATTTAAAAGACTGTACATGCATTAACATGTAAAGCATGTGACACAAATTTATGTGCTTTTACCAGTTCTGGAAGCATACAAGAGTACTTCCCAAGGCAAGGAGCACACTAACACAGGTAGGATCTCAGTGGTTATTAAGGATAGAGCAAGCTTCGGATCAATTTTTTTTTATTTTTTATTTTTAAATCAACCATTTCATTTAATATCATCAGAGTGTGAGAAGTTGAGATATGGAATGCTTAGTCTAAATCTGCAAATACCATTTCAGTTCTAGTCATAGGAATAAGTTGTCAATTTCTTGGGTTAGAAAGTTTTTCAGCATGTTTATGTTAGCTTCCTGAATAGCTTCAGGCTTTCACTTGCTTTATTTTCCAGAGGCTTATCTGCTCTCTGGTCTGGAAATAATTTCTTATTCTAGATTCAGCTATAGTCATTTTCTGATAATCTTTAGGCAGTGAATTGCCTCAAACTGTTGAGTGTGGTACTAGCTCCATTCCTAGAGTGACATCTGTCCCATTTAATATAAATAATAAGGCTAATGTAGCTATTCATCATAAGGTTATAGGAATTCTGAGTAATTTTACAGTTCTTTCACCTTTCTTAACAGCAAAACCATTCTCGCTTTTTTTTTTATCTCTCTCTGTTGTTACAGAAAAATGCATTTGGAATGATAACTTCTCTTTGCTGAGCTGAACTACAAAGATCTCATGCTTTGGAGATGAAGATGATAAACACAAAGAATAAATCCAGCTTCTGCTGCTGTGAATATTAAAAGGTCCTTTGTGTCAAAATGAACAGTCTTTGAGAAGAATCTGGAAGCTGCTAAATCTAAAAGATGGGAGAAAGGGTAAGGAGCCCAGATTCTGAACAAGACAGAAGATCGGATGAGGACAGAAACAGTGACTCTTATTATTCAGATGAAGATAATGCATCCCATTCATCTGACCGGTCGCCTACTCTAAGCTATCCATCGACAAGCCATGAAAAGCGAGATCACAAAACAAGAGCTTCAGACAGTCTTGTGCACTACCAAGGTAGGTACACATAGAAACTGTTCCTTTGTAACTGCTCCAAAGAGTCTTTGAAAGTTGGAATAAAAGTGGTGAATGTACTGTTCTAAGAATCTACTAATAACATTTGTGTGAATTATACTGCAGGTGGCAGGTAGGCTCTTAACTGTTCAGCTGAAAAATGAAATTAACCAACTGCTGTAAAAGGGAGATATTTTGGGGGGGTGGGCTTTCAGAATTATTCATGCTTCTTTTGACAGGAAAGTGCACCTCTTGAACTAGCCTTTGGTTGCATCTTGCTGTTGTTCTATTTGAATATTTGACAGGAATCTCAGAATGGCCAGGGTTGGAAGGGACATCAAGGATCAAGAATCTCCAACCCCCCTGCCACATGCAGGGCCACCAACCTCCACATTTAACACTAGACCAGGCTGCCCAGGGCCCCATCCAATCTGGCCTTGAACACCTCCAGAGACAGAGCATCCACAACCTCTCTGGGCAGCCTGTTCCAGCACCTCACCACTCTCATAGTAAAGAATTTCCCCCTGACATCCAACCTAAATCTTCGCTCCCTCAACTTAAAACCATTTCCCCTTGTCCTGCAGTTACCAACCCTTTCAAAGAGTTGATTCCCCTCCTGTTTGTAGGCTCCCTTTAGGTACTGAAATGCTGCACTCAGGTCACTCTGCAGCTTCTTTTCTCCAGGCTGAACAAGCCCAAGAAGACCCAAGACAAGGCAGTACTACACAGTGTATAAAAAAAGAAGATACTTCTGTTGTGTACTTGTCTGAGCTTTCCTGTATGATATGGTGTCATTACAAAACAAACCAAAAAAACAATCAGCAATGTTTCAAGACAGAAAAAAATGTTTGGTGAAAGTTTAGATGCCTATGGAGTGGAAATTCAAGAGTGTTTTTATAGACCTTTTTTGAGGGGTAAAATACAGCTGCACTCTGAGTTCCCTCACACACACCTCATGAGCTGCTGTACATGAGCTGATTTGTTGATTGAGACTGTGGGGAAAGCAAACATCCGTGCAAAAAAGAAGAGAATGATTTGTCCAGCTTCAGGCTGAAGTAGGGTTATGAAGCCTCTCTGCCACATTTTGACAGGTTGTTCTAAATAGTTGCATGCGTCTTCTGGTGAAGTGAAAGCGTATCTTGCCTTTCTTTAGCAGTCTGTTTCATTGGCAAATCCTTGATGGCAAAGTTTTCCAGGGAGAGTCTCTTCAGATCCTGGCATTTTGTTGAACTTCTCTATGTTCAGAAGTGGCATTGCCAGTTGTAGGTTGGGTGCCTGAGAAACAAAAACTGCAGTTCCACAGTTGTTTGGTTTGGAGTGGGCAAAGAAATGAGTTGGTCTTCGGTGCAGCTAAAACTGAATACAATTATTACATGAAGGCATGGTGAATGTAGTGTTGTTCTTGAAATGCACTCTTCCCCAGCTTAATTTTGTGGTTAAAAGTGCAGACTTGGTATTGGAATTTTCTGTTCTGCTCTTAATCTGGAGAAATTCATGTAGGGGTTTAAAGGCTAGACTGAGGTTCATGGGAGTGTGCTTCCTTCTCAGAAGGAAAGATGTGATTCCTGCAGTACCTGTATTAGTTAATCTTATCATACCTGAATGCTACGTAAGTATTAGTCATATGGGGGGGGAAAGAAAACTTTTTCTTTCCTGTTTTCTTTAAAGTTGTTATTTTTGCTTAAAAATGTTGTCTGTAGAATAGAAGCACGGTGAGCATTAAAGGGAAGGAAAGATTTGCTGTCATACACACCCTGTGTGTGCATAACTGCATTATCTCTATATACCGGTTTTCAAGTCTCTATATCGCATAAACTGGTGCTCAGAATATTTCTCCCACTAAGCTGTCTGTCCAGTTGTTTTAAGATGTATTTTTGGTGTGTAATGTGCTTTATTCTTCTCAGCGTTGCCTGACATGCAAATAAGATAGAAACACCGATGCTTAGTTTTTATCTGCAGTGATGGTAATAAAATAACAGCAAATAAAAATGTAAGTGATGGATACTAGTAATCAAATAAGGATACTCTGTGGAAAATAACTTGTGATACAGGAATAAGTTATTCAAGGGATAACTGAATTTTCGTAGGATTTATGATTTTGCTTTGTAGGCTTTTTTGACCCTTTAAAATTGCAGTTTTATCTGTCAGCATGGATTTGAAAACACTGTTGGATTTGTCTGAGAAAATTACATCTTGCATAATACATAACTAGCTGGCTCTCAGCTAATTGTTGCAATTTTAAAAGCCCTTAATAGTACTGCATGCATAAGAGTACAGTATTTCTATCTTAAGCAAGCTAATAAACGTAATCAAATATTAATAAAATGTCTGTTATTTCTGATACAATTTATAGATGATTACTTTGCAATACTTCCATGTTGATGTCTGCAGGTATTGCCTCTTTCAGTAAGTCACAGACATAATATCCTTTTTCTACATCTACGGAAAGAAGGATAATGCTGTTACGTGTATGCTTTTTATTTTCTGATGTGAAGGCTGCAGTCTCTGCTAAATATTGTAGAATTGTTTCAGGCGGAACTTCATTCCAAGAAGGATGTCTGAATCCACAAATTGCATTGTCTTGTAACAAACGTGCTTTTTATTGTTCCTCTTAGCCACAAAGAAGTTGGGTTCCAAATATGCACCAAGCAAAAGAGGGACACGGTGGGGTTTCCGTTCTCAAAGCCTCACTAGGGATTCTCCTGCGAAAGATATAGATCTTGTTACAAAGAGAGTCCTTTCTGCTAGGCTGCTGAAAATCAATGAGCTCCGAAATGAACTGACTGAACTCCATATCAAACTAGATGAGCTGCAGAAGGAAAACAGGGCACTGAAGAGGCTTCAGCACAGGCAGGAGAAAGCCTTGAATAAGTTTGAAGATACAGAGAATGAAATTTCTCAGCTCATTGCTCAACACAACAATGAGATTAGAATATTAAGGGAGCGCCTACGAAAATCTCAAGAGAGGGAACGTGCCACTGAGAGAAGGCTAAAAGATTCAGAAGATGAACTGTACCGAACAAAAACTGTCTTGCAGAAACTGAAAAAGCTGTCTGCAGATAAGCACCTTGCTGAAAGAGATGACCTGGCTAAGAAACTAGCCTATGCAGAGAGCAGACTAGAGGAGAGTGAAAAAAGAATTAAGGTGAGATGAGCTTTTGAAATATTTGCTCAGATATTTCTTAAGTGACTTTTATGTATTAGTTTGGCTTCTGGTTTTCTTGTTTTTTTGGTGTTTTTTTGGTTTTTTTTTCACTGTGGTAGAGCAAGTAGAAAAATCTTTCTCTTACTTGATGCTATTTATGAGCAAAAATTATTCCTGAAGGGATTATGTAGTTGTATACTCAATAGTCATGCATTCAAATTGCTGTTTACAAATTAAATGTTACGTGTGGGTGTCAATGCAGTGGAGTTGTGCTTTTCAATGTTTCTAGAAGTAGGAATGATGTTTCAAAAATGCAAGCAACCATAATGTAACTTTATGCAGTCTAATTCCTTGTGAAGAGGAAGCATTTCTTAAACATTTACAGGATATTCAGAGAACCAAGTACTACAATTCTTTAAAAAAAAAAAAAAAAAAAAAAAAAAAAAAGTGTATATATATAATAAAAAATATAAATAAGATACATGTATATATTTTTAAAGAATATGTATATGTATTCTTGAATCTTATGGATTTCATTCATGTAGTGGGTTTGTTTTTTGGTTCCCAATTCTGTACACCTGAGAGCTGAGCTGAAGAAAGCTTTTTTTAGATAGCAAAATAAGCTCCAATATGTTTTAGTTTTATTTGCAAAAATATTTGAAGGTATGTTTTAAAAACTCATTTAAAAAAAAAATATTGTATTAGCAATGTTTGGTAGTTATATGCAGTACCATGTTTAGCTGAAATTACATTCATCATAATTGTAAGTGTCAGTACTTAATTGTAAGTTATATTATGGTGATAACAGATATCAAAAATCTGAAGGGTTAAACTGGAAAGTAAGCTTTCATGAAATAAGCTCCAAAATAATAGGAATATCCCTGCAATAGAAATGGCTACACTTCTCAAATCACCCTGTAGTGTCACCATCTGGCACCTGGAGTTTCATGATTGGGTATCTCAGTATTTGTAGTAGTAATAGAATATATGAAAATAAGTTGTGTCCTTCAAGGGAGAATCTTTTTGTCTGCTTTTTTCATTCTCATCATCACAGGTTCACTTAAAACAGCTGTTGAGAGGTGAGGGTATGCAAACAAAACAACAATCACAAATTTCTTTCGAGTAGATTTTAATTATTTCCTGTCTTCTTCCTCTTCAGGAGGTGTCTCATTTCTAAACCATCATGTCAAGATTTTACTAGAGGTATACAGGTGTGTTCTGTGCCTGTTTCAAGAGCCTTGGCTAGTGGGTACTGTTATGTCCCCAGATTGCCTCTCACTACTCCAGAAAAATGAGCAGCAGCACCTGCAAGTGCTGTGTCTGCCCCCATAAGCATTAGGATTAGGGTTTAAATGTATTTGGTGTTATAGTAGTGGCAGAGTTGAGCTTTGAATCCAAGATGTTTGTTTATTGTTATTTTTTTAACCACATTGACTGTTTAAAAAAAAAAAAAAGTATTCTTGGTTATTAAAAAGTATTATTTTGTTGTTTTAATTGAAGGATCTGGAGAAAAATCTGGAACTAAGTGGTAGCAGTTTTCAGCGAGAATTACAATTGAAGAAGAAAAAGGTGCTTGAAGCTCAAGACAAAAATAGAGCTCTCCAAGAAGAGCTTCTTCAACTGAATCAGAAGCTGAAGGTAAGTTGTGAAGCGGTGCAAGCTGGTACCTATGTTCTGGTGTTTTATCTTTGGAAGAACCTGTCATCAAGTTCACATATTTTAGCAGTGGATGCACTTTCTGATAATGTACTTGATTATATCAGGGGAGTTCTTTTCCTGTTTCAAATTGAAAGATTCTATGCTCTGACCCTTCAGCCAGTTTTGAGCAGCAGTGTTTCCATGTAATCATTATTGTTAGCACTAGTTAAGAAAAGCAAGATCAAGTATATAGCCAAGAATGGTTATTAAACTCCAAGATTTACTGAAAGTTAGGTATTGAAGACTTGTTTTAAACCAGATCTGCAACTATGTACAGCCATTTATGTTACCATGCACCATGTCGTGTTCTTGGATTTCAGTAGGCTTGTGTAAAGGTTAGTTGTGAGATCTCCATACATTACTAAATTTGTGCAGTTTTATTTTGCTTTCAGTTCGGTTGCCAAAATTCTGAATTTTGCTGTAAAATTGTGACTCAGAAAGCACTGCATTCTACTCAAATATCAATTTGCCTTTACAAAGGAAATGCCTTTGTAAGGAAACACCATGTTTGAAACTCTTATATAATGAAGACGCAGCAGTTTGTTGCCTTACCAGTTGTTGAGCATGCAGTGCTAGTGATCCAAAAACCTGCTTGTTAACAGTGAATGTTTTAAGCACGATTTGTTAGTGGAGAGTTTGATGTTCTGAAAATATTTTCATTGTCAGATGGCTTCTGGTAATTCATTTCTGTATTTTAGCTAATGAATATAACAAGGAGAATATGCTTTTTACTGTATGATACCGTGAGACACTGCTCCATGGTATTAACACAGCCTGTGACAAGTAACCTTGAAATGTTTAACTCTACAATACAGAAATTTTTCTTGTGCAATCTATATGTACATCACAACCTTTTTTCAAGTTTATGGAAGCACTGGCATTTACTTTAATTTTTGCTGCAGAGCTCTAACATTTTTTTTTTTCCAGAGCATTTTGCTAATGAGGTTTAGGAGTAGAGTTCTGTTTGAATTTTTGAGCATAAGAGAAGTTAGTAATGTGATTGTTCTCCTTGAAAATTGGACAGAACTGTTGATGCCCTTACTTACTTAAATTCCATTTGCAATGTGTATTTTTTATTTTAATTTACTGCCAGTGAGCGAAACATTCCTAACTCCTGCTACCTCTCTTACAGGAAAAAGAAAGAGAACTTGATGCCAAAAATATATATGCTAATCGTATGCTGAAGGTATCACCGAGGAAAGGGATGGATGTTATTCAAAGAAAGAAAGGTAACAAATAAAGTAGAAGAGGCAAAAATTTAGTACCGCTACTTTGACGTTCAACTTTACCGGGTGTGTATATGATGCTGACCCTAGCACTGCTCGTCTGAGAAGTCTGAATTTTCTTGCACTGCTTTCTACACAGCAGTCATTACAAAAGAAGGGCGCAGGATGGCTTTCCTGTAACTGTAGCAGAACCAGAACCTCAAATTTCCTCCGTGGTGTTAATGTTTTGTATTGCATATATGAAGGAAGACCAGAAGATTGTTCAGTAGAATTTCTAGTAGATCGTAGGTGTCTGCATGACAGTGAACTGCAGACTGAAAATACGAAATGTCACTGCTGTATTTTGGGAATGCTTTTTATTTATAATTTTCCCCACTTCAAATTAATGTTGTCAGATTGGCTGCGGTACATTTTGCATCAGAATACATATGTCCCACAGCATCATCTTCCAAAAGCATCACTGTGGTGATTTTCTTCTGGAGCGACAAGGCAGCCGTGAGCCTTATGCTACAAGCATCAGTATACATTTATATATGTATGTGTGTGTGTGTATCAGACAGTCTTTGGTGGATCAGTGGAATCTGTCAGAAGAAGGAATTTCTGGCACTATTTTAAATAGCTAATGCCAACATTTCGAGCTCTTTAGTATTTATCTATCTCGTTTCAGTTAATCCATTTTTGAGTTCAAGTATTAAAATATGTTATTTAATAGAAATAAGTTTATGTGCTTTTAAGATACGAACAGGTATATTTTAACTTAATGAGTTTACTTCTCTGAGTATGAATTCATTGAATTCAGTGACAAGCAAGAAGATGAAAATAGATATTTTGTGGCTAATTTTTTTTAATTCAGTATGCTGTGATTTTATAAGTAGCTTTATTTTTTTTTTCTTGTAGATTTTTTTTTCTTTTTTTTACATGTAGGTGGGGTTTTCTGTGGCTTTTTTTTTTTAATTTTATTTTATTTTATTAATTTTATTTATTTTATTAATTATTTTATTTAGCATGTAACAGAGGCTGGAAACAATTATATGAAATTTGTCAAAACTTTCCACTTCCATACTTGCAAATACTTCAAAATCAGGGTAGTTACACAGTGGGATATTTTAAAGTGCAGATATGTTTTGTTTTTATTTTCTACAGCCAGCAACCAAAATATCAAAAAAGGAGCACAGCTCACGAAAGGAGTACAGACCAATGGATGCTTCTCATCTGTAGAACTTCCTCCAGAATCAGAATTTGTCTGTGATGATGCAGTAGATAAGAAAGAGAGGATTCTTTCCAGAATAGTGAGTTCCATTTAAAAGAAAATATTTGAGACTTGCTCCCCATAATTCACCTGTCAGATTGATTATTGAATGCACAGCTTGCTTTTTAGGAAAAATATATAAGTATACAGAAAATACAATTTAGACAACGTTCTGGTCTTTAAGAGAAGCTCTGCCCTTCCAGAAATATTGTGTGCCATTTTTTTGTGACAGTTCACCCTATTCTGTATCTTACTGATAGCCACTAATTCTACCTGCTTCTTTTTCTGCCACTGCCATTTCTTTGAAGTTTTCAAGCCTTCATTTTGTTTTTCTTTATTTCTAAAGCTTATTTGAGCAGTCTGTTGTAACAGTGCTGGCTGCTTTGTCTTTCTTTTTGTTTTGCTCTTAATTATGGCTTCTTGTAGTTTGCAAATTTATTTCACAACCCATAAATCTAATGCTCCCTCTTATTGTCAGATACTGGTATTTCTTCTGTCATTTATCCAGCTTTGTGAATGTGGTTGGATTTTTTGTTGTTGGGTTTTTTTTTCCCGTTTCCTGTAATCATGGTACAATTAGAAGTATTCCTAACGCTTTTATTTCAGGCTAGAATTAGAGATTTGCAAGGTAAAATTAGACAGGTTCTGGTACGAATCTGATGCACTGAAGTATTTTCATGGTTGGCTCCTTCCTTCATGCGTTCTATCCCAGAATCTTTTCTGTGATTGTGGATGTAGTTTAATGCATGTGTTTTCCAGCACTTCAGTGTGTGAGTTCCATAACCACATAGGAGGTACAAGCAGAGCTTGTGGAATCCAGTTGTTGCTTTAAGTAAAGTTGGGTCTGTTTCACTTATTTTAGAGTAAAATAAACTCCTATATAAAGTAAAATACACTTTCTTAGAGAAATAAGCACAAGGCTCAAGATTAGCATCCACTTGTTGGATTAGGCTGCCTTTCTCTTCCTTGCTTTTATGTTAGTGCTTTTTTTTTACTGCTGACATTAATATCAGTTCAAGTGTATTTCCCTTTAAATGTGAGTATATCTACTTATTAGCTGATTTTTAACCCAGGAACAAACCTTTCTCTTTCACTGTTGGTTACTTGATACTCCATAACTTCAAGTACCGTCGTGAAACTGTCTGAATCGACAACCTACTCACTTCGGTAAGAAGTCAGGCTGTGGTAACTAGCTTGTTTGCTAAAACAAAAATGCAGTGGGGTCTGGCTTCTATTAAGGTCAATTACTGAGTTTTCAAGAAAACTATTCTAACAGAATGACAATTTTATTTTATGACAGACATTGAAACAGCAGTGTTCCTGAAATGAGTAATACTGAAAAGAATCGGTTGTTAGTTTTGCTTCAGACGATTGTTGAAGGTGCTAAGATAATAAGGTCAAATCCCTGAGTTGTCAGAGTTGGTTTGGCTTTGATGTCTTGCTCATTTTTATGATTAGCAGTACAGAACATAATTTCAGAATGAAATAGAAGATCGTATGATATTATTTGTTTGATTATTTTTCTGCATCAGTTGGTTATTGTATCAATTTGTTTCAGGAAAAAGAGCCTCAAAACAAGGAATGGAAAGAGCAAGCAGACCTGCTAAAACAAGAGCAAGACAGAGAAAAGGAAGAGAAACTGAAATGTGTTCAGGAACTACAGACTTCAGAGGAGAGGTTTCAAAAGCTACATGATGGTAAGAAAAATAGGCAGCTGAAAGCTGGAAAATGCAACATGGAATACTAAGCAAGTGAGACTGCTAGGTTGTGTTTTTTTGTTTGTTTTTTTGGGTTGTGTTTTTTTTTTTTTGTGAGAATAGCAAAATGATTTTGCAGAGATCACTACAGTGGAAAATTATTTTCAGTTATGTTATGCAAAGAGATCAGAAAGAAAAATGGAATATAGAGTAATCTGAATCCTGTACTCAGACGTGATTAAGTATAGAGCAGCAAAAAAACACTGAAGTCTGAGAGATTTTGCTTTGCAAAACAAGGATGACATAGCAAATAAATGCTGAATTATCTCTGATTTGCTAGATGTTATTAAGGTAACAGTAGCAAACTACTGTCTATAGCACAAATCTGCTGTCCTTAATAAGGCCTCTTTTTTCAATACTTACTTCACTTATATCACAGAATCACAGAAACAGCAAGGTTGGAAAAGACCTACAAGATCATCCAGTCCAACCATATCATTGAAGATAGTAATTTATCTTCTTACTTGTGTGAATCATTTAGTGTGGCTATTTAAGAAATATCAGTTTTCATCCTTACATCTTAATGTTGCTTTTTCTTTATCCATTTGGCTTTCAAAACATACTTATGGCTTACATTTATAAGATTTTTATAGGCAAACCACATGCTGTTGTTTAAAATGCTCTTTCAATGATTATAGTTAACAGAAGCAGTTAATGTAGGTGACAAGGAGGAAATCTAAAAACCTACAGCTGCTTTTAACTCAATCCTACATAAATTCCCCTACTTCCACTCACACTGTTGCACAACTTAAGCAGGCCAAGGATTTGCTCTGTTACCTGCCTAAGATGATTCTGACCATGTTTTCTATTGTATAAGCTGATATTTTCCCCACCTTGCATATGGGAAGGTAGATACTTTACTTGTTGTTGTGATATTTTCAAATGCAGTGTGATTGAAAATACATATAAACTGAACTGCTGGAGTTATTTCTGTAAGCTTGATCAGAAGTACTGTAGATAGCATGGAACTTTGTGAAAACATCAATCAGCAGTTTGAATTAAGAGTTCAAAAGGAAATGCCAATGTGCTGAATAGGCCAAGTAGCTGTATTCAGCCTTTGACCTAAAGTGTCTATTGTGTCTTGTTAGAAAAATATTTTCAAAACATATTTTGAGAAGATACATTCTTAGAAGCTTTCTTTTTCTTGTACATGTAACATTTGCACATGTTAGTAGTTTAATTACTGTTGCACCTCCCATGCCCCTTTTATTTGTGCAGATTGCCATTTGGTATTAGCACAGGTGCCCTCGTTGTATTCGTATAATGGCACATGAGACCCTTGTGTGAAAGTGCCTTATGCAGCAGATACAGAATGTTTAAAATCATGCACAACTGGAAAACACTAATGACTATCCGTGACTTTGTTACCTGAGAGCTCTACAGGATCAGTTCCCTTTACAGTAAAATATGTATATCCCAGTGTCTGTGGTGCTGACAAAGAAAACCAAAGTGCGAGTTGGAACTATTAAAATCAGTGGTGTTACATTAATTTTTCTTCAAAGCCAAGAAATAAGAAGGCAATTGGCAGAAATGAATTTCCCTGATGTTCTAAAATGTGGAAAATGGCCTAATAGCATACCTTTGTATCTCAGCAGAGAATGTAGTGGATTTAGTTGTAAGTTTTTGAATATATATATATATATATATATATATTCAAAAACTTACATTTTTACAATGGAAATACCACACTATGCATGAAAGAACATATTGCATACTCAATGGCTTTTGCTTGCGCTGTCTTCAAAGTATTCTTATAAAGGCAGCTTAAGACTAAGACATTGTAACTAATGTTTAAACTTCCTACAGAATGGGAAAAAGAAGAATGTGACAAAATGAAAAAAGAAAGCAGCTTTTTATTGGATAAAGAAGATAAAGCAAAGATGGAAACAGAAACACACAAACCTGAAATAGAGACAGAAAGTACTGAAATGCTGGAAGAACGGCAAAAAAGTGAATTTCTGCTTGCCAAAATGAATGAAATTGATAGAGAAGCTCAAAATGTAATGAATGTGAAACTTGCTTCTCAAACAGTGTTCATAAACACATTGAGAAAATCTGATTCTCCGGAGAAGAAAGAAAAAAATGGTCAATTCTTTGAAATTCCAGGAAAGGTTACAAATGGATTTCCCCAAGAGGAGAGCCAGGAGGATGCCATAAGAGCACAAGGGCAGAAGCAGCGAAATTTAAGGACTGTAGATTTAAGTAATGAGTTAACATTTGGTAGTTACGTACCTTCCTTTGGAAAAGTATCAGGGAGACCAAGTTGGCTTAATCAAAAAGTTGACTCTTTAGAAGAAAACATGAAGGAAAATGCAGATTTCCATAGTAAGAAAGAAAAGAAGTCCAATTTAATGGAACAGCTCTTTGGAAGCAGTGCCAGTACCATCCTCCTCCCTAAAAGTAAAGATATGACACCTTTTGACATAGATTGGGAATCAAGTAATACCCTTCTTGATAAAAACAGTAAAATCAAAGTAAAAGAAGACAACGATCTTTTCAGTGAAGGAAGAAACCTAAACAGACACCGTCTGCAACACGCTGGAAGCAAGCCAGCTTTTAAAACCCTGGGTTCTTTAGAAGATGAAATTGAAGAAGTAGTCTTACAATGATCATATTTTATATTTTTCGTATGTAAACACTGAATAAATATTTTCACATAATATTTATTAGATACAGATTTGAGATATTTCAGATGTAAAGCCTTATGAAGGAGTAATTTACTTATGTGGATATATTTGTATAGAGGAAAGATGTGCTCCGATAGAACAGCCTAACATACACACAGGAAATTTGTTTTAAAAAGTAACATCTAAATACAGGCCTTGGAGATCTGACAGTCACTATTTTGGCAGTAAGACAGTGAAGTTGTCCTGAGGGACTTGCTGATAGGTGAGATTGCTACTAGCTTGCCACTTAAGTCAGAGAAGATGCTCTTGGTCCTACCTGTGCTCCAGATTAATGGTCCCTGTTGCCACATGGCACCATCTGACTTGTGCAGCTGTGGCTCGGGTGCCAGAGGCTTGTCAGTGCAGTGCTTGTAGGGATGCTGTAGGAAGGAAAGGTGTTACAAAGGCTTACACTCATGCACACCCTTCACCTGCATGCACTCATAGACTCTTAGTGCTCTCTTGCTGGCTTTTGCACACAGTCTTTCTCTTGCTATCACTCTCTTGATTATTGAGACTTATGTGTCATCTGTAATAGATCAGTAAAACCATACTTCTCACAAAAGAGAATTATTTATGACAGAGTTAGCTGGCTGGGAAAGCAACAGGCTTTTAAGTGGGAGTGCTGGCATTCAGGGCAGCTAGGAGATGTGCATCTCTGGCTAGCCAGTGTAGGAAGTATTTTGTTACCTGTAGGCTGTTCGCCATACACTGCTTTTAGTTTGGTTGATTTCTTTTGAGCTTCAATTTGCTTCCCCAGGCATTCATAGAGCCTGTAAGCTGTATCAGGAAAAGGTGTATGTAACGTTAGTGTCATGAAATTGATAGAAGAGTCTTAACTTGCACAAAGCCTCAGGTAGAAAGACAATACTCTACACTGCAATTGTGTTATCTCAGAAGAACCTCAGCAGAAATACAACGAACTCAGGAGCAGCTTATCTCTTTTCTGCATAGCTTTTCTGGAGATTTTAATAACAAACTTGTCCAGGTTGTCCAATATTTTCAGGTTATATTTATTATATAATGCCATTTTTTGTAACTTCTGAATTTTCTACATAAAATTCCAATCATTAGTAAGTTGTTTTTTAACAAAATGCTTTTATTAAAACAGTTGAGTAAAATTTGTACGTGGAGATCATCTTTAACAAAAAGTTTTGACTTTTTATATTGTGTTACTGATGCAGGGAAGGGGGATGAAAGTGGGTTTGGTAGTGACATTGCTAGTCATGTCATTCACTGCATGGTGCATGTATATAAATTGGAATTGTAAGCAGTGAAGTATATCAGAGGCATTCCAGATAATTACATGAAGGTCATCATTCTTTACTAGAGTGGCAGATTTTTAAATGCTTCTCTGATATGCTCCCTATGAGCCTGATTTAAAACATACTAAAAATACAGAGGGGGATTATTATGATTTCAAGATGCTTTGAATCAAGATTTCTGTGGAAACAATGGCTTTTCTGAAAAGGAAAAAAAAAAGGCTGGTGTCTGCATCATGCAATAACTTTCTTTGCTCTTCCATTCAGAAAGAAAATTAGTCACAGATTCAGACTGGGTGTGTGTGGGACCATTCTCTTTAATCAGGCTGAAGTGAAAAGCAACCCATGTTCACCTGTGTGCTTACACTGTGAACCTGATTATGTTGATTATAAAATTGTAGAGTTTAGCTCATTCGTTTTACTTACTGTGAGTTAGAATATAAGTTTATCACTCTGACCAGGAGTGAGTTTAATTGTCTGTTATTCTTCCTCAGTTACTTGTTTGGGGATATACAACGTTCATTCTGAGAGGCAGAAGTCAGCTTGTAAGCGTGTTAAGTGTATGCAAGCGAGTGGTTATGTATCTTGTAACTTTCTTGTCTTAAGTGTGGATGAGTACTGCCCTTCAAGACTACAGGGCTGTGTTCATGAACGTATTACTGTGGCTGTTTGCTTTTGTTCCCTGTGGCTGAGGATTACAGGACACAAAACAATGATGTAGCTGCTGTGGTTATTAAGGATCACATAGTGTATGGAGGGTTGGTTGGTTTGTTTGCGCAGTGACCCATTAACATCTGGCAAATTCTAATTATCATGCTGAACTGTTGTGCTCTGCTATTTCAATTGTAAATGTATATTTTCTAAGTTGCTTCATACTATCAGCCTCCTCTTAAGTTTACACGTTCTGTTAGCAGACCTTTCCTGAAGCAAACATTGTGCTGGCTTGCACAAAAAGGTATATCCTCTAGGAAGGTGAAAATAAATTAATCTGCTGGGTATGGTGCCACAGGTATATCTTTTGTTTTCCCCAATTGCTTTCTGTCTCTACAGCTTATTGTCTGTTCTTGCTATGTTTACAGTTTTAGTGTTACTCGTGTGTAAATGCCATTACAGTTAAGAAGTATAAATCAAGCACTTGGGACTTGGAGGGAGCAGGAGGGTGGAATTTTTGGATCCTTCTCAACATGTGCAAGCAAGATTTCTGATGTTGAGAAGTTACAGTTTTCCACTGTCTGGAAGCAACTTCTGCAAGGTCTTAAAAGGGCCTATAGACATTGTGATTGGGTTCATCAGTATACATTAGTTCTCTTTACCCCTGATCTTGACTTCCATATCCATGTAGTGTGCATGTTGCTTTAGCAGTGGTTAATTGTTTGCAGAACACTTCATTTTGGAGGATAAAATAGATCACAAATGTAAGCTGTTCTAACAATGATCTGTGATGATAACTTGATGTTTATACTGTTATAGATTGTTTGTTAGACTTTCAGATCATAAGGCTGTCAAACCTGTTGCGCTGGAAAAAAAAAAATCCTTTGTTCTAATATGAGATGATCATTAAAATTTGTTAAATTGTTTTATTGGAATACACAGGAGATGGTTACTGCCCTGGGCAAAATGATCTCCCACTGAGGAGCACATGATGAACTTGATCAGGTAATAGAACACACCTGACAGACAAGAAAGTTTTATGTGAGAAGACTTTTTGAATAGGGAAAGGCACAGTAATCTTGCATCTGTAATGCAGAAGAGATGTGAAGGGCATCCCAAGTCCTCCTACAGTCTACAACCCTGAAGTGAAGCCTGAAGAATGCTGCAGTGGTAAGGATAGTGAGCTGGGAAAAGCTTGAAAGCAGTGTCTTCATGCTAAGTAAGGAATCAAAGAAAGTGATTATTTTAGAACTCTGATAAATTCTGTTTTTCTAATTTTGCTTTTCCTATTGCATACATGCCTAGAGAGGTTAATTGCAAATCTATAATGCTTCTAAATGAGGAGAGGATGTGCTTTAGGCTACCTGGTAGCCTCAGGTTCATTGCTGGTGCTAAGACAGAAGCTCTAATTCTGCTAGCCCAGAGTCTGTTAGGTCTGTTGGGGGTTATGGAAGAATATCTCATCTGGTGTGTTAGGAGTAGAAATCTGATTAGGGAAATGCCTTGAGGCAAATGGCTAGAAGAGCATCAGTGGGACTTTTGTGGATATTTACAGACTGAGAGTCCTCAGGGTGAGCCTTTAGTATTCCAGAAAATAATAAATTCTACATAGAGCTCTAAAGCCAAGACTTACTAAGGATCTACAGTGCAGAAATTAACAGCTTCAGGAGAATCACTGCAGGAAGGGAAGTTTTGTTCCCTGAGCTATATGACTTCACGAAGTCCGATCTTCTCTTGTCCTGCTACAACTTTTAAGTGTAAGAGATGTTCTGAGTGACTTTGCTCATTTATAAGATTTTCTTTTGCTGGATCATATTTAACATGATCTCCTGTTTTGAATTCTGTCTTTGATTAACTGCAAAGTTTTGATGTCAGCAGGAGAACAATTGCATCAGTGTGCACTGTCAGCCAGGACCTCTGGCTGCTGGGAGTTGCTAGGATACCTCTCACAGGTATTGCTCACTTGGCTCAGCACCAGCCAGTTTATTTGAAATGTAGGTTCATGTCTTTGTTGTGTGTGTGTGTTGAGTGAGCCACAGACTGACTGTTGTGTGTATTTGCTTTGATAGTCAAAAACTGTGCTCTGCAGCAAAGAATGCAGAGAGAATAGAGTAGCCATTCTACCAACATATGACCATTGCTTTCAGAGGGGAACATCAGCCATAGAAAACCAAGGATAGGTTTGCCTTGGCTTGTAGGTGTGGTTTAACCTTGTATCTGTGAAGACACAAGGGAATTTTTCACCTCTCATATATTCTTTCTTGACTCTGAGCAGCAGGTTGGACCAGATGGCCTGTAGAGGTCCCAGCCTATGTCCTTCTGTGATTCTGCCATCCTTCCCATGTCTCACTGGTATTAATGCTTCCTCAATAAGTCCTTTGCACAAAGCAGTTCCATGCTACTTAGACAAAGTTGCCTCAGATACCTCCTGCGTGGCCATCTGTTCCTGAATATGAGAGTGTTGTATTTAGGGCACAAATGCTAACTCAACTCTTTCTTGCCACTGTAAGGCAATATCCCTCCTGTAGCCTATAAGACTTTTCTCCAGGTTCCTGTTTTCTGAAACATCTTGCTCTAACCTTGTCTTAAGGACCTTTTCCTGCCACTTCTGTGAATCTTCCCACTGCCCTAGAACCCTCATTCTTCTTTCACTCTCATAAACTCATGCTCCTATGGCTGTGACTTTCCTCCCTATTGACCATCATTCTCTCTCTCTCTGGTTTTGGCTGTTACTTCACCTAAGCACAACAGTTATCTTCTCCCTCAACTCCCTTCACTCCCTCTGTTCTCTGGGTTTGTGTGGCTACCTGTGCCTTTGCCCTGTGGCTACCTACCAGCTGTGTGTGTCTTCTCACCTGTGGGATGAAGTAATTTTGCAAGGCCTCATAAGAAGGGGTTGTGCTGGTTCAAAACTGGTTTCGTCTGTACTACCACATACAAACACTGACAGGGATATGTTGAAGTAGCCTTGTCCACTGGCTGGGCACCAGGACTCATACCCAGCTGGCCCTTCAGGGATCCTTGCAGCAGCAGAGCATGAGGTTTGCCTGCTAGGACGGCCTTGCAGTGACCTTCCCTTGTCACTGCTTGGGCTGTGGAAGGTTTGGAAATGCCCCTTGGTGCTCTTCCAGTTCTCACTCTGAGAGTTGTTAGGATCTTCTGGTCCTTTGTCGTTTTCTTTGAGCTGCCAAGATCTCCAAGCTAGTCTTCATCTGCCCACCATCACCCCTTAATGGCTTAAGTCTTTGTTTTAGCCTGCGTTTAGGCTGCCCTCGTGTTCCCAGTAACCTGAAAAGCTGCACATTGCTGTGACAGGGTTCAGCTGTTGATGCAGGAGCTGCTCTTACAGCCTTTCTTCTGAACCATCTGCTGCTCCCACATCCCAGACCTTTACCTTCTTTTTCCACTTACACCAGTTTTAAATGTTTCCTTTACTGTTCACTGTGGTATCGTGAGAGTTTGTAGGGCTCAGCTACATGCTGCTGTTTTTTGCAAAGCTTCTAAAAACTTTTTGGCTTTGCTTAGTAATTCTCATGGCAAGGATGGATAACCCACCTTCTGTAATTCACTGAAGATCAGTCAATTACTAGCAGTCAACATGAAGAAATGATGTTTGGATTGTCAAAGGGCACTAACTGAACTCCTGTACCTGACCTTCCTGTAGCTATAAAGCTAAATGTGGGTTTGAGTTCTCAAACTAAACCTTAAACTGCCTGTGTGAACCAAGCATCTGGGTCCTGGGGCACAATTCTTATCTAACCAGCAGTCATTTGTTTGTTTGCTTGGTACATAGCTTTCTTTGTCTCATAACCCCTTTTACGGAATAACAACACCCAGTGCCTGGGTTTCACTGAAAGTTTGTCTCTGTGTGCTCTCTGAACCTATTGGCCTCATGGCACCCATGTGGAAACCTTGAGAAAATGAGAGGCACAGAGCCTTTCTCTGTATCACTACTGGCAGAAGTTAGACTAAAAATGTCTGAGTTCTCACTCATTAGATGGCACTGCTCCGTTTTCAAGTGTGTATAGGCATCCCTTGACTGAATCTCAAATACTGAAATGCAGAAGACATTCACCAGTTTTCTCTCCTAGAATGAGTTGCAATGTGTAATTTCTTCTATCAAAGAAATACACAAATATAGGATTAAATGTTTTCTTAAGAGTACTTTCATGCTTTCTGATCTTTTTTCTTATGTATTTTATTTTCAC